CCAATAACGATCGTTAATTGATGTGCTTGCAAAAATCTAAATGTAACCAGCCAATTAAGAGTTGTTTAGCAGGCTCTATGCGCGGCGCAGACTGATATGTAAACGCTCTACTATACAAGGACTCGGGCCGAAGTCAAAGTCAACTGTCAAAGCTCCATAATCTCAGTACGCCAGTACTCAGAAACTTGGTTTTCATCCAATCGCTTTAAACCAGATCACGCCTGGATCCAGTGTGGCCGTGCGCCCCTGTGGTGCCAGTGGTGTCATAAGCACCCGTGCGGTTGACGTCAGAAACACTTGTGCCGGTGTTGGCACCATTATACACTCCGGCCTGCTCCATACCCTTGTGGATGGAGGGGGGGATCTTTCCTCCGGTCAAGGCGGACATCACGGGGTTGGCGGGGAGGGAGGTCGCTGCCAGGCGGTCTTCCTTGACGTGGGGGGCTGTACACGAGACGGAACGTTATCAAGTACCTGATAGTGAAAGAGAGATGCCAAAGGTGTCTCATGGCACGTCTTCTGTACGAAAGTTCTCAGCCTGCCAGGAAAAGCCGTTCGGCGTTTCTTTCAACGCGCAGAATGCGGTCGCAACCGTGTGACGGAGAACGCGACGATCCGTGCGCAGAGTCACGCAAAACGGCGTCTCATGTTGCGTCAAATCAGAGAGAGTTCCTCGGCCCGCGATCAACAGCCATTCGTTTCTTTCGCCGCCAATGCGTTTGCAACTGTGAAATGGAGAACGCAAATGTGCGCGGTGTTCACGCAAAATCGTTTCTCCCTCGAGAGGTTCCGTAACCTTCCGAGTCAAGTGGTAAGATCTTGTATACTTTCCCTCAACAATTATATTGCCCTGCAAAGTCTTAGATGTATTCCGAGTCTCAGATCGACCCGAAGTCAGGCGTGACAAGTCCTGGTACGTACCAGTTGTCGTGTGAGGAACGGACTCCGCGGTCGGGTTGTCGTAGCTGCGCACGTCGCTGGTGTTGTGGGGTGTATTCATCCCGATCACGTTCAGCCCGAAGTTGTGGGGCTTTGAGTCATTGGGGTGGAACACTGCAGTCCACAGAAAACACAAAGCTTTAAGAAGCGCTCGAAAAAAACAACCGACCGTTCGACAAAGCAGATTGGGAACGCGAAGATGGATAAGAGACTGAAATAAATCTTGTGTTGTGGGGGGTATTCATCCCAAACACGTTTAGGCCGAAGTTGTGGGGGTCGTCAGGGGTAGATACTGCAATCTGCAGAGAAACAGAGGTCTAGAAAGCGCTCGAGTCAAGGTTGCGACGGTTCGACATGGCAGATCAGGACAGCGGAGTTGGATAAAGACCCGAGTAAATCGGTGTTGAGCGAGTTGATGCGACGCACAAGAGAAAGCGGGACAGTTGCAACCTGCTATTGAGTGGTAAACTTTGGAATCCAGGTCCATAGTGATTTGAAAGGAGCCATCTTTTTGCTGCAAGACTGCGTCTCGTGATCTTCCAAGTTGATCCAAAGTACAGGAAGTTTGATTCAGAGTGCAGGAAGGAAACCGGACGCTGTTCGAGAGAAAAATGCGGGCACACGAGCGTTCTGAAAAGCGTGCTTGAGTATGAGGTCCTCGAATGAACGGACTCAAATTATGCAACCGAGATCTTGGAACGAAACGTTTTCGAAGCGGACACACGGAGGATCAGTAGACGCTACGTAACACAGAGCACCCAGACAGAACTCATCTTCCAGAATAAGCAACCAATAGAGGGCGTACAGAGTGCTGAATGTACAAAAGGAAAAAGTTGCCCTCCTCGTGGACCAGCCAACAGATCGCCCTATCGTTGGTGTAAACTTGCGAAAGTGAATGACGTTCAAGAGGTGCTTATGTAAACCTCGCAAGAGTATATGACATTCAAGAGGTGCCAACATGAAATCCTCGTGAAGGTGATTTTAATCTGAAAGGAGCTTACCCTCTCCTCTGGTACCGGTGGTACCGGGCAGACCGGGGGTACCGGCCAGGACGGACGCGTCATTCTGACGGTTGTGGTGGCCCATGTGCTGCTCGGCCTCGTAGGCACCTGCCACGTGGCAACGGCAGACGTCAGGACAGCGGGCTAAATTTGAAGACATCAAGTGTGCAATCTTAGAACCTGGCGCAACTCGAAACCTGACGAGCCGAGCTTGTGTATGTAATGAATCCCGGAGATTTTAAAGACGGTCCCTTCATCGATGTTTCCCAGTATGCTCTAAACCGTCGGGTTACGAACCATTCAACTGGAAAGCATCCGACAAGGTCGCACGAAAGATGGTCAGAGAAAAGCGTTTCCGGGAGTAGCCGAACAAAGGCACAACAAAATGCTTCGAGCTAAACGGAGGTGTCCACGTCTTTAATCGGTACGGCGTCTGCGGGATTAAAAAGACGCGTTTGCCACGGACAAGACTTCTGCGGAAAAACAATGAAAAATCTTAAACACCTCAACCTTTCAAAACCTGAAACCTTGATTGAACTATAGATCAGGGTTAAGGAACGAATACTCACCAACGCCAGTGGCCCCCATTGCACCGACGTCTTGCCCCATGTGGTGACCGGTGTGCTGACTGTGGTGGCCCAGATGCTTCTCGGCTTCATAGCCGGCTGCGCGCATACACAAAGGTTGTGACAGCTTATCCAGATTTCCGAATCCATTCGTCCGAATCTCAGGGCAAGCTCCCCACGAGGACACGCGCGCTAAACATTGGAAGAGAAGCACATTGGCGGATGTCGAATGTCGGTTGCCTGACTTCGATTTGGAGAAGATGCCAAATCTTGGAGAGCGAAATATTGCCGAAATTACACCCCCTGCTTCGAAGTCCCTTTCCCTCCGCTCAGACTGCGGTAAGGATCACAAAGTACGATTCTTGATGCGCAAGATGATGTCTGGTTGACACTCGAGATGAAGGTTCTGGCTTACCAAGACCAGTGGCACCCGTAGCGCCAGCAACACCAGTTCCTGTGTGGTGTTGGTGAAGGCCCAAGCGGTTGTCGCCTCCATAGCCCGCTGCAGAGGAGTACAGGATGCCATTATTCTCGGTCATTTGCGACTGGGAAAGTGCTAAATGTTATTTCAATAGTTTGCAGGTTCATTGATCGACTTTCTTCATCTGAAAAGGAAACAACTTCTTACAAAATATCACTAATCAACTTGCTTTTCGGAAGAGGTACACTTCAGACGAAAGCCTGCCGCTCTACTTGGCACATGTAGTATACTCAATTAGAGGAGCTCTTATAGCCAAATATTAAGAGATTTTTCAAACATTCATTTCCTCGGAGCATCTCAAGCTGTAGAAACTCACAGGAACATGTGGCGCAGTTATGTAAAGTTCCACAAACACAAGAAAAGTCGGCCTTTACAATGATAACGTCAACCGAACGACTCTGCCATATATGTTAAGGTCTGCCTTTGTAATTGAACTGGTTGCCACCATGTTTCGAATGCAGAATTTGGCTGCCTGCATGCATGCATCACACAGACATCTTTGGACACCCGTCAAACTGCCGCAGCCAGATCAAGGAAGCAGGTGAAAGGAGTCGCAAACAGAGCACCAGAAAGACACGGAACAACAAAGATGTCTCTTAGAAGTTGGTGAATGGAAATCCTGCAACTCACAATCAGATTTCATAATTCTAATTTGAGAGTGCATTGCATGCAGCAGTGTCAAGTGTTTGCTCGAATGAGTACAGTCTCTTCTATCCTTTGACTCAAGCCTCTCCGGCAATCCCTTAGAAAGAAGCCACAACAGACAGGTCAATTGTTGGCGCAGCAGTTTTAAAGGGAGGTTTCTCTTCTGAGAACCACTTCATCTTCTGTCTTGTTAAAAGCCTGTCCCAAACAAATCTTGCAAAGTGCTCTTACCAGTCTCAGAGAAGACGGGGCGTGCCCCACTACCGGCAGTGGTTCCCATGGTCGGGGTTCCTCCCAGCTCATTGGTCATCAGCTGCTCCTCATTCCCCATTGTGGTGGGAGTGGTGTGAGTCACGCCGGTCATGGGCTGCTCGTAGCGGCCAATCTCTCCAGCCTGACACAGGAACAGCAGGGGCACCGTCAGCATTCTGTTTGGCAGAGTCTGGTGTCAAGAAGGAGCTAACCAAATGGATTGTGGCTGAAAAACCCAAATCTTAGCTGATACTTCAGTGACCCCAGGATATTCAGCAGCTCAGCGCAATTTTGCATGCCTGGTTGGGAAAGCGAGATTGAGAAGCTCTGGATCAGGAAAACTTCAAAACTTCCCAAACCTGGACCAACGGCAAAAAATAGTCACTTGAGCTTGTTTCTATACTAGAATACCCTCTGTCACTCACGTTTCAAAACCCAACAATCTGGAATTTTACAGTGCCTGCAGGAATTGTAACGCTGCTCCCAAAATGCACTCAGATTTTGACTACAACTGTCAGCATTCTCACCTCATTGTTCATACCGGTGTGGGTACCAGGCATGTGAGTACCAGCGTGGGTACCAGGCCGCCTCTGAGTACCAGTGACATTGGGACCAGGCATGTGCGTACCAGTCTCAGTATCTTTGGTTGCGGAGGTGAGGATGCCTCCTTTGCCCATCATCTCCTTGGCGGCAGCCACAGGGTGCATCAGCTTCTCCTTGGTGGTCATGTTGGACGCCATTGTGTTTCGCAGAATTGAGGATAAACTTACTTGGGAAGAAGATTTTGTAAGCCAAACGAAGGTATGAGAGAAGGTTTCTTGTGGGAGACGCCTTCGAGTACTATGTTACTATCCCTTCTTCAAGGCTTCAACTCGAATGCTCGGCGCTTCTGCTTGCAGTTAATTATATATGCTCGACAATCGATGGGCAAGTATGACGGTGCGTGACGGCCTTCTGCGGTTTGATAGTCCCAACTCCCAGTGCATATGCAGCTTGGAAAGCCGAGGTAGGAATCCAATCTAGACCTGTGCTTTCTCGAAGTTCGCATGAGCCTGAACAAAACTTTTGTAAGACTGACGGCAGCTTGCTGCGTGACTGCAGCGAGAGACACTCTCCGGGCGCCAGCCAGTGGGCTTCCGACGAATCTCCGAATCCCCAGTCCCGCGATGCCACAGCCTCAGGTTGTCGACCCTTTCCGCCACGTAGGACGGGCCAAGTCTAGGACTCTGAACAGAATATTCGGTTTTAATATGCACTGACGGACGGCCTGTGCAGCTGACGCGTGGCGTCTCCGTCCAGCCTGCCCCCAGGGCGGCATACGCAGAAGTTAATTGACCGAGGGCCGAGGGCCCGGGACCGAGGCCCAGGGGCCAGGGGGAGGATGTCCCGAGGACGGTCAAAAGAGGAGCTAAACCAATAAAGCTAACCCAAAGAATGACGCGCTTCATGATCGCTTCATCCCCGCACCCAGCCTAACTACCCAACTAGGTAACCTCACCCGTCCCCCGGGTGAGGTTATCATCGTGCCAGTTGCTCCAGCGGTTCCGGATAAGTTACCTCGTACCTAGAGTACTGCATGTACCTGACATTTCAGTGATCAATGCGAGGGAGGATGAAGCATCAAATACTGGATCAGTCGCCAAACAAATTGGTGACACTCGGAAGGAACGCGCTGGCGACCGCAACGGACCGCCTCTAGACCTAAAGCACTCACTAAATAAATCGACGACCATTTTACCCAGTCGCCAGAATCGTGCGAGCGACCTCGAAGAACTCCGCTATACTGCACCAGTCGCCAAACAAAATGGTGACACTCGGAAGGAACGCGCTAACGGACCGCCTCTCGACTCAAAGCACTCACTAAATAAATCGACGACCATTTTACCCAGTCGCCAGAATCGTGCGAGCGACCTCGAAGAACTCCGCCATACTGGAGCAGTCGCCAAACAAATTGGTGACACTTGGACTGCCTCTAGGCTTGAGGCAGTCACTAAATAAATCGACCGGAAGGGTCGCCTACTATAGCCAGTCCCTCCATGCATGACGCACTTGATCCTTGCGCCCCAGTCTTTCCCTTCGCAGATTTTACGCCCAACGCGGACTTGGAGGCACGCAGGGGGCTCCTTCACGGTTCTACATCGAAGCGCACTGGAGTACCTTTTCCCCACCCACAAAAGGCGGGTCCAAGAAAGAAGCCAAGGAACCCCGGGGGGGGTTTTAACGGCTCCAGTGTAGTCTAATTTAGACATGCTTTGATGTAGAACCGTCGATAGGAAGTTCCGTTTGAGTGAGGCTAATGCTAGTGTATAAGCCTAAGGAAACACTCATAAGCGTTGCCTATATGAACTCTAACATACAAGAAAATAACATAACTTGCTTCTGAAGGTAGAATTCGGCGTATACGCCTCGAGTTGCTTATGGTAGTCCTTTGCTCTTTTGGGGACCTGTAGGAGCATAGGATGAGAACCATCGACACAACCCCTATCCGTATCGGTAAAACGGTCGGATCGTATAATAACACCATCAGATTCACATTGGTCTCCTCTCAGCCTGGCAGTCGAAGGAATCCTGCAGCTGGATTATTGCTTTATTTGACCGGTTCCTTTGATTGTACTCAAGAATCCGGTGCATGAAGAATCACCAGGTTTCAACGATGAACGTCGGAGGGCGCACTATTATACCCAAGTTTGTCACTGAGTCAACAAAAGCTTAGGAGTACTCATAAGTTCGGAAATGGAGGCCGAACTTCTTGCAAGATCCGAGCATAAAAGCTATAACCAGCCTTCGAAATCATTGGCAGATCGATCGGCCAAGCTTTAAAATGCCGGTTGCTAATTGTTTCTTGCAACCAATAATCAAACTCAACATGCACCGGGCAGATGATGCGGACGCCAGAGACTTCGACATGCGCGAATGCCATCGGGTATGCCCGAACGCCGATCTTTTGGATGCGAAGTATGAACAATCCGGCATCTGCATGAACACACTTCTAGATTTATACAAAGATGCCAACCGAACCAGTGGAAGTTGTCCTTGCAAACCGCGCTCTTGAATATACGCAGCTAGATCGTTTGCAACAAAATGCCGCTGCATCCTGTCGAGGATACTAAAACTTTGTATGGTTTGAACATTAAGAAAATGCAGTATTTCAGTTCCGTGTGAGAATGTCCATGTTAGATCACTATCAAGACGCAGTGATCAGTGACTTGAGCGCCAAGTCAAGCCACTGATAATATGGCCGTTGCTATGCAGTCGATAATCGACGTTGAATCGTCAATGTCTTTCAGAATACTTAATCTATTGCTCCCTTGCTGCTCCTAGGGCGGAGTTAGTAACAGTCCTTCTATTCTTAGCGCGCAACCGGAGGCTCCATGATCGTCTAAGGAACGTAGCCAATTTATACTCTTCGAGGACGATGAATGCAATGTTTGAATGTTTCTACCCAATGAAGCAACCCAAAAATGCATTCATCTATCCGATGCTGCAATTGTGGTCATAACTTATATTCCGCTTGATCTTGCGCACCCTCAATCGCTCAGGGTGCAGACGACCGCCACTGTTGGCTCAGCCATTCAAGAGATTTGAACGCTCCGCCATCGGTGTTGTGCTGCACGGGACAATTGCTGCCCTGATCAAGATGCAGATAGAGAGACGGAGGAAATGGAGCGGGGGCAATCCGAGGATACCATTGGCTTGCTGTATGGCCGAGTCTAAAATGGCTGGTATCAGATTCTGGTACGATATTGGACGGTGAATTTTCCTGCCCGCTTTGCTCGGGGCACCTGGACCGAATTTCGAATTGACACGTGCCTCGGCTTCATGAGTAAGACAAAGCTGGAAGATTTTGTGAACTGGCTTCCAACAGAATAT